TTGGTATGGAAGCAGAGCTGGAAACCTGGCAGTGGCTGCGAACACACCATGCCTGCACTGCGCAGAGGGTGCTCACGGCATTGCAGCATCCTTTAGCAGGTGCTGGATAGATCTGGCATAGCCTGATGAAGGAGGCTTTACCCCTTGTCCGCAATCACCTGACTGCAGAATCCCGTTCACATTGCAAACACCCAGCAACTGCAGCCCTGATCCCCAGTATTTCCAGCCCAAGCCCTGGAGGAGAAAGACAGCCCAGCTCCCTGGTGTTACATGCACCCATGTGTTTGCACAGGATGTACCCAGCCTGGTCAGTGCCAGGCACCTGTGCAGGATCAGGCCCCCAGGAGAGCCCACTGACCGCAAAGCCCCAGGGACCGCAAGACAGGGGCTTACCCAGCAGAGCCTGGAAGAGTTCACTTTGGAAGATGTGCGAGACTTTTCCAATGGAAGCTTTTAGCTCCTGCTCCTCTGGGGACCGCAGGGTGCTTTGGTATCTGGTCAGAATTTCCACTGCCCGTTCAGTGTCTGCAGAGACGACACAGGAGTAACAAGGCATTAACACTGAAGGATGGACAGACATTGTCAGGGAAGGCTCGAGTGCAGCCTTGGAGCAGCACAAAGGGCTCACCTGGATAATGCCTCAAGTTGCCTTTCAGCTCTGTATTTTTAAAGAGTCAGACAGCCACAAAAGCAGCCTCATTACACATACCTAGAAGAGCTAACCCTGCCGTGAGGTGCAGAGGGGCCATGGCAGAGAGCCGGGCAGGGGCTGGAGGGGAGGTGGTTCTGCCTGCTGGCCCTCCTCAACCCTGAAAATCAGGGGCTAAATCCAGGTTGACTCACCTCCAAACCCCATGGCACTGGACAGCCTGAGCACCTCTGCTACCTCCCAGGCAGAGAAGCCGTTCAGGAGCTGGACACGTCCCGGTTGCACAGGGCTATGAGTACTACCGCAAGAGCTGAAGTCTCCCACACAGGGCCAGATGGCTGCAGCAAAGCTGAACATAGCCCCACTCATGTAGCGCAAGATGTTGCAAACAGCTCAGCTACACGAGTGGCAAAACTTGGGTTTCTACAGGATGAAGTGTAAGAATTGCTCCATGCATCAAGCAGCCTTGGATCAGCAGGAGACACAGTGGGAAAGGAACATGATACCTTGGGGTCAGGGAAGGAGGCATGCTGGCCAGGAGGGGAGCTGGAGGCTGCCATGAAGCAGTGCTTTGGTTAAAGACTAGGATCATCATGTGAGACAACCTTGGACCTAAAATAGTGGAGCTGTGATCTCTCTGTGCCAGGACACCTCTATGCTTCTCTGGGCAGATGCCCAAAGCTGCCAGTCCAGCTCCAGCCCCAGATGTGACCCATCTCTCAAGGCAGGTGGGGAGCTCCCGTGGACCTTGAGCCCATCCCAGTCCTATCAGTGAATATTTTCCTTTGCCATCCAGGCAGCCCGCAGACAAAAGGCCTCTGTGTGAGGAGGCGGGGGAGCCATTCTGTCACTGCTGGGGACTCGTCTTTTAACCCAGGAACTCATGCAGAAAGGATGACCCTGCTCATCCCAGGGCTCTCAGCAGGGAATTCAGGTCATCGAACAAGGGGGCCTGTGTCTGCTAGGGTGCATGCCACCTGCTATCCCAGCTTGCCCAGCTGGCTCCCCTCCCAGCTCCTCCTTGGCCGAAAGGGGAAGGGGGTCCTGCCTATGTCACCTGCCTACACTGACTCATTGTGGGAGCAGAACAGAGAAAGGAGCCTGGGGAAGCGTGAATAGCTCCTGCTCAGAACTGAGCTCCACACTGGCTCCAGGAAAAGCAGGGAATTCCCCAAGCTCCAGATTTATTGGGCTTTATGGGCATCCCAGCCCTGTGTTATCAACTAAGGGCTTCCTTTTCTGCAAGATCAGACACTGCCCAGCATGCCGTGAGTGGGGTTGAGTCATCTTTGCCTGGTCATTCCTGACCTTATCAGCAGAAGCTAAAGAAGCAGGTGGAGAGCTGGGGCCACCACACCAGGACACAAAGACTGCGAACCTGGTGTGAACATCCCACCCCAGTCCAGGCTGCACAGAAAGAGCGGCTTGCACCCTGCGCTGACCCCTGCACTGCTGGCCACCAGCACCAGGTGACAGCCAGCTGGAGCAGGGGAGCGCTGGCCCCAGACCAGCAAACCCAAGGAAGTGCTGTGCCCCCAGCACAGGGGAGAGACTGGAGCACCCTTCCTGCAGCAGCCAAGAAAGAGCACGTGGTGGCCAGGGCCCATCTCACCATGCTTCAAGGTACAAGTCCCACTTACAGGAGGTCCTTCCTCGCAGGGCCCGCACCCCCATACCTGCCCTCCCCACAGCACCCGAGAGTGCTGCAAGCACAGCATCCCATGGCCACTCGCTCTGAGCCACAGCGGCACGAGGATGTGTCCCACAGCCCAGGGAGGGCGTGAAGCCGGGGCACCCGGTCCTCAGGTCTCAACCCCGGGGGTGCACCGGGCAGGGCGGCCCGGCCCGTGGTGGGGAGGGAGGAAGGGAGGGAGCTGCCCGGCAGGAGCGCGGGGCACCGGGCGCAATCCCTG